TCCCCAGCGACTTTGCCTTTGTTAAAAACGACTAGCATTGTGTTTTCATTTTCATGAAAAGGAACAGAGGGTAGAATTTGGACATACTGTAAATACATTTTAAAAAACACATTTATGTGTTGGCTGAAAAAAATGAGCTTCCCCCCTTTGAATGGCCAGCAGCTGCCACTGATTTCAACATATCAGATTAAGGATACAGAGCAAATAAAAATGGCAAGTGAATGTTTAAAATAAAATATTCATAAATGTGCAATGTGTCACACATTAAAAGTCTTCACATATCAAATTTGTATTCCGTGCTACTTCAGTAATAAAAAAAATGTCACTGGAACCTGCCGGAACAGTTCATCACAGCCCAGTCATGAAGTAACACTGCCCACTGAGCCAAATAACCCATTAGAGAGGATAAGCTCTCTTATCAGCCTGCCAGAAAGCACACAGCCAAGGTCACACCAAACTAACACCAGGCCACTTTCCATATGGCCAAGATTACACACTATACAGCTGATCAGGAGACAACCATACATATTCATCCATTTACCTGTCATCAATAATATTTAGCAAATGGCTTTGAACAAACACATTTATTCATTCATTCATTTTCCGAACCGCTTGATCCTCACTAGGGTCGCGGGGGATGCTGGAGCCTATCCCAGCTGTCTTCGGGCAGTAGGCGGAGGACAACCTGAATCAGTTGCCAACCAATCGCAGGGCACACAGAGACGAACAACCATCCGCGCTCAAACTCACACCTAGGGACAATTTTGAGTGTTCAGTCAGCCTGCCATGCATGTTGTTGAAATGTGGGAGGAAACCGGAGGACCCGGAGAAAACCAAACACATTGACAAAGCACAAAATAAAGGGAACACTTAGAAGAGAATACTCCAAGCATTCTCTATTATTTTTTGGAGCAGTTTATATATATATATATATGTGTGTGTGTGTGTGTGTGTGTGTGTGTGTGTGTGTGTGTGTGTGTATATGTATATATATATATATAGAGAGAGAGAGAGAGAGAGAGAGAGAGAGAGAGAGAGTTATATCTCCATTTTTTTAAGGGGTGGAACGGTTCGCAAAATCACATAAGGTTTGGTTCATAGCTCGGTTTTGTGGTCAAGACTTTTTTGTTCGGTTCGGTACACTTGGACTTTTCTCACAGAATTAATAGTAAACTTTTTTTGTTGTTGTGATTGTGTAATTGACACACACACACACACACACACACACACACAATATATCTCGTGCAAACAAGTTGGTCATCGCAGAACAAACGAAAAAGTTGATCTCTCTCGTATCTGTTTCTGAAGTCGTTGCAGCAGATAATATTACGCCTTTTATTTATCGTGGTAGGTAACTCATGGACTCAAAACAAAACGACCGTAACTGCTGACGTATTGTCACATTATGGACAGTGTGGTACTTGATTACTGTGTGCTAATTTAATTGAAGTTGATTGGTAACAGCTGATTTTGAAACGGATGCATTTTAAGGGTATGAAGGGCTCTTGTTTACATGAGGTTGTCGGCTTGTCACAAAAGGGTTCAGCAGTCAGGGCAGTATTTACTGCTTAAAATATATTTACACACAACTAACTGTATTACTCTCAGTAACTTTGTTTATTTTACTTCTGCATTATATATGCAATATTGGAAATGGTCAAAGCTGGTGATTGATATTAAAGGAAATAATATCGACTCTCAGACTGTATCACCACCATTTCTGAGCACAACCCTGAACCGAATTTTTCAATTTTTTTCCTCATCCCCTGAACAGGGAAGGGAACAACCAGCAAATCGTGGGAGTGTAATATTCATGAGTACATTGAAAAAACAGCTTTTAAAGGGCGATTCTGGGCGGGCGTAATATACATGGGTGTATGCTATTCTCAAGAAATTACTGTACACACTCAAAGATGCTCTTTTTGTTCACTACATCAAACATTTTATCTCAATGTAATTCACCTCTGTCGAACATGAAGCAGATGGAGGGCTCAGGCCGACTTCATCGATTGGCTTTCCTTCGCAGTGACAGCTCCCAGATGGGCCGCAGAGCATTAGAGTCAGAAAGTCACGCTGCCATTGCGAGTCTGTTCTCTCTGGTTACATCCCAGCGCACATTCCGTGGACTAAAATCGATTACAGTGATAAATGTGTGTGTGTGTGTGTGTGTGTGTGTGTGTGTGTGTGTGTGTGTGTGTATACACATATACACACATATATTTATTTATTTATTTATTTATATGTGTCTGCCAGAATGTGATCTCTCTATCGCTACAACTTATCAAATGTATTCAGTATGAATATCACGATGATAAAGTCAGCCTTCTCCTTTCACTTGCTGTCTTATGATCTTCAAATGATGGAAAACACTTGGTCAGTATGAATCCAAAATGTATGAAAGTCAAGATCACAGTGTGGATCCATGCTTTTTGCAATTTACGGTGTAAATCTTTTGGCTAATGAACCACATTAGCACATTAATGAGACCAAGATATTGAAAGGGAACCTCATTATTTTGTAGACTAAAGAGAAAATTATCACGCCCATTGCAAGCCATCTTCCATCCCTGCATTTTCTCTTTCTGTTTTGTTTTTTTAATGACTTCCATCTCTGCGCTCCACTTTAGTCATTGCACAATGAGAACATGTGTGCAAAAAATAAAATTAAAAAAGCACAGACAGGAAAACAGGAGTTCCCGGTATTCGGCTTGGCTGACACTAATATGTTTTATTTCAAAACGGCTAATTACCACATTTTAAATTATGATTCATTCTTACAACTATTCTTGCTTGTGTCATGCTACTTCTTGTACTGATGTTTCAAATAAATAAGAGTTCTCTACAAAGAGCAAATCCAGATTTCAGAGAGAAAAAGGAGTTTTCGACTAGAAATATTGTCGTTGGCAAGTAGGGTATATCGACTTGCTGACACTTTTTAATGATTGAGAGGTTTCCGTGGTGAAGGAAAACGCTTATCCATCTTTGTAATGAAATTGCCTCATCTGATCGTCATATTAGCTGTCACAAATTACAGACTCCAATCGATCCAACAAGAGTCCAAATAATGTGAAGCGAAGTGTGAGAGAGGGCTGGCACGGCAAACGTAAATGAAGCAGAAAAACACAGACCTGTGGAATAAATCTTCATACCATGGCGAGATTTTATGCCACTAGAGAGAGAAAGCCAAACTGATTTGAATGTGAAAAAAAAATTGGATTTGCCAATTTTCTCTGGATTCTCTGCACCAGCCAACATTACAATGTCTCTGTCTCTCGCTCTTCACAAGAGAGACGTGTGTGGCTGCAACAGACTCACTTGCAGGAATTCATAGAACACCCTTTTCATGTTGCTTTATGAATGTCTCTCTTTCAAACACATACACTTGCACGCATACGCCGTGCATTCTGCTGTCATAAACTGCAGCCTTATCCAAAGCAAATGCGGAGATGAGGATTAGTGTAAATCTCTCCAAACTTGAAGGTGGAACGTTCTGAAGTTTTGCTTTCTGCATTTCCATCTGGCTCTGCTGTGTAACGCAACTGCTGAGAGCATATACAGTGTGGATTAATGATGACAAAATAGCTTTCAGAATAAAAAGCGAACACAATAACATGTTTTAATTAAGATCATAGGGATATAGGGACAAGAATATATTTCATTGTTTCTCAGCATTTGTATATTGGAGCAGTATCGTGCCGCAATCATCACAAGGAATACTTCCAGCTCTCAAATTTTGAAGCAACTCAATGCAGAGCAATGACAAATGCTGGAAGTAATGTGGAGTCAAAGTAAGTAAAATATTCAGCATTTTATTCTTTTCGGCTGTGAAGCAGTACCTGTACTTAGCTGTACTTACAACATATAAAATATACCGTATTTTTCGCACTATAAGGCGCACCTAGTGCGAACAATACGGTAAAAGCATTACATTTTCTCAAAAGCTGACAGTACGTTTTATAGTTTTTGTTCTTCTACTTTCTTCCCTTCATAACTTTGCTGCTGTAAATTGGGAATTTCTCCATTGTGAGACGAATAAAGGTTTTCTTATTCTTATAATCTGTTGCGCCGAATATATGGATCAATAGTCTGATTTCTTGGATGTAGTATTTGAATTGTTCTGTAAAGCATTTTGTTACAGCTGCAGTGATTGTGAAAACTCAATAGAAACAAAGCTGTATTGTATTGTATTCTATTGCATTGCCTTTAGCATAGTTCCATCTAGTGGATGCATAGCATGCCTACAGCCACTATTGTAGCTTATTTTCTATGCGCCTTATAATGCAATGTGCCCTATATATGAAAACAGTTTTAAAATCGGCCGTTCATTGAAGGTGCACCTTACACTCTAAATCGCCTTATAGTGCGGAAAATACGGTACCTATAAAACAGGACAAAACATACTGCTTCCAAGTGTTTTTTTTCTTTCAACTAAATGTTTGGGAAAAGATATTGCACACCAAAGAAGGTACAATCCTTCAGTTACTTCATAAAACAAGTATTGACCATATGCTTTCTCTGTCCTCCTAATCAATTACGCTTTCACTACACAGGATCCTGTGGCTGAGCTAAAACAGCTTACTGGTGAAGTCAGCATGGCTGCAACAGTTCCGGATGGAAGGTTTTCAACCAGGCTTGTTGGACACCACCACAGCGGCCAAGTGAATGTGTATCACTTCAATTAAACAGGGCGCACAGTGTCTGACAACAGCTAATATTCCTCCTCCACTAGCGGACCCAATCGATGTTCTGGCATTCGTCACCGTGCTAAAAAAGCAATCATCGCACTGTCGCACTCTGGTTAGCGGAGGAAATGTTATGAAACTCATCCTGCACCGATGCATACTATTTGGAGTATAGAAAAGCTAAAAATGTATTCGAGCAAAACACACTTAAAATAACTTCATGCATACTGTATTTTCTTCTGACAAGATAAACGTCTTGGAAAAATCCACAGACAAGCGTAAGCTTAATATGGTAATAAAGCTTGCAGAACAAACGAACCTCTCTGTCAAGCAGTGTAGGGGAGATGACAGTGACAATGTCGCCTCTCTCTGCGTCGATGTAGAACATGTTCGGAGATGGTTTGTCTGGTGACTGCCGGATGATGATGTAGCGCAAAGCGGCATTATCTGTCGCGGGGTCATCTGCATCAATCGCCGTCATTGTCATCACCGTAGTTCCTGGAGAAGACATTAAACCACAAAGTAGTATTTAACAAATATCCAAAATTGATCATGTCTGACAGTGGCAACACAATAAAATGCATTTGAGTAACTTGCTGAAAATGTGGTAAATTTGAAGTATTTACATACAGTATGCTTTTCAGGGAAGGCATTGCAAGAAAATACAACTACAGAAGCAATACCAACTAATTCACATACAAACTGAGCCCTATCATCTTTTTCATCTCATCATCGTCATACAAAAATAGCTTTTCAACAGATGGCGCAAGTGCCACTAATGTTGTGGCCCCAAGTGTTTAAATTCAACGTAAACTTTTCTCATTTACTTTGCCTTCCATGTGACAGGGCGTGTTTAATCTGGTAATGACATCCAAATTAAAATCTTTGCAATAGCTGAGCTGCCGAGTTCATTTTTGACACTGTACACCGGCAATCTGTTGCTTGACTGCGATGATAGCAAATGCAAGACATGTGCGCATTCATACGTGCAAACAAATATAGACCACGTCAGGTCATGTCCCTTTTGAGCAGTGTTTTCATTTCCCAAGTGCTGCAAAAGGTTCTAAATTGCGTCTCGCTCCACTGATTCATGTTCTGGCTGTCATGAGCTCGGAGTCAGACAAACATTTGCTCACTGCTGTCTGTTTCTTCTTAGAGGAGAATATGACAGCACTGCGATAGAAGGGTATATGGTTAGGACACAGATGGATACGTACAGCAAAGTGGATGTCTGTCACTGTAAAAATGCAGGGCGGACGATTTTGGATGTGGCTGGAACGATCAAAACTCGGTTTGGTGAAAAATGTCTACTTTTGTTCCTCCCTCAGTATTGAAGGGCACTTTTTAGATTCTATAGAAAACGCAAGTAGAGGTAAGCTTGGGGTTGTTGATAAGTTGGCAAGACTGAACTCAGTGCTCTTAAAAGGAACTTTGTGGGCCCTATTTTCGTGCCCAGCGCAAGTCTAGCATAAAGTGCAGTTGAATTGTGAGCATGGTTGTTGTTTTCTTTCTTTTGTTAGAAATGGGCGTTTATTCCATTGAGGGAGTGAAAGCATCCGACTTGATTCCTGGCCAATTTAAGCGCCCCCCCCCCCACACACACACACACACACACACACACACACACACATTCCCATTAAATTCAGTGCAGAGGAGGCCCACGCTCGACAAGGCAGAAGCCGTGAAGGAGATTGTCGCGTGCAAGTACTCTTATAAGAAAGTGCAAGATCTCCACTAGCAGATGCCTGCTGCAAAGTGCTAGTGGAGATGTTGTATGTGCCCAAACATAGGGCATTTGCAGACTGCCATCAATGCCCGATCATGCATCCATGTGTGATGGAAAACGCCTCGGCCCGCCAGAACGCCCAGCGAGGCGAAGCATGGTGTGCCAACTCCCAAATACTGTAAACTAGATTTGCCCCTCCACGAAAATGAAGATGTGCCGGTTTTTACACTGAGCAACTGCGTGCCCATCTACGAGAATAGGACTCTCCGTCTTAAAAAAAAAAAAAAAAAAAAGCATGATCATTTGAGTGTGTGCCAAAATTAGTATAAGCACTGTCCACAACAGGGCGGTAACATGAGCAACAAGTGAGGTATTCAGGTTGGTGGAATTTTAGATTCATTTCTTTGTATGGCGCTCAAGTTGAACTATCAAGATGAAAAATGCTGAAAAATATGTAAAGTACGCATCGTAGCAAAGTATCTTAGTCCATCTGAAGGTAAAAGAGGGCAGGCCAGGCAAGAATTTTATCCCCTTTCCATTTGCACTTCAAGGTGAACCATTAATGTTGAACTAAACCGATAATCCTTCCTCTGCGGACTAATTACACAGTTCCATCTCCTTCATTACCAAAACTCTGTTCCACTTCACAGCCGGAAAGCCACACTGTTACTGATGACACAGTGATCTCACATTCATACATGTACGCGAGCGCGCACGCACGCACGCACGCACACACACACACACCACACACACACACACACACACACACACACACACGCGCGCACGCACGCACGCACACACACATACACACACACGCACACACGTGTGCGAGAACTGGCATCAAATTGCAAAATTAAAATGATGGATAAATTGGTTGTCTCAAGGAACATATCACACCACATGCTGATGTTTCACTCTGCCACATCTCTTTAAAAATGTCACTTATCTTAATCACTGCTGGAATAAACAACAGAACATGATCATTTTTGGAGCTCTTCATTTATTACTGTCTCAAAAGTAAATGTAAGCTCCTGGCATTTTCACTCCAATACTCACTGGCCACATTATTACACCTGGAACAACTGCAAAAAAGAATGAGATGCAAAAATCACTTTCTGTGATCACTGTGTGGTTGTTTTGAGACGAGCATTTTCATTTGTCTTCTAGTACAAAAAAAAAAAACAACAATCTTTCATTGATTATAATGACTATAAATGGCAGGACAATCACTCAGCTATTTGAACTCAATCAAAGACCAAAATGGGCAGCTCCTTGAGGACTGATGATTTATTTCACTCCTGGCTCATGGGCTCACTTTTGCATCATGAAGGCAGAGGAAGGATTTTTGGTTTAGTGTGATCATGGATGGACAAAAACAAAACTATCATCACCAGAGACTTACAAAGCATCCAATCAGATTGCTCCGATGTCAGGCCGATAATGCTCTCAGACGGGAGAAGGTGCATTTGCTGGAGATAATTATATGATGTTGTGTGTCAAATGGTAGCGCACTTAATTACCTTCTGCCTTTGCCATTCAAATTTGAGTCTTAATGGCGGGTCATTCACAAATCTGCCTTGGATAAAATATTTGATGGGCTAACCGGTGCCACGTAGGAGGGATTACAATGCACACGGCTGCTTCGTGGTTTTCCTGCAGGCAAATAATGCTGCCATTATGATCAGAAAAGTTGTGAACTGGTTGCCAGCCAATTGCAGGGTACACATAAATGAACAACCACGCTACAGCAGATGATAAACCAAACACTAAATAACAAATTTATTTAGATTTATTGAATTTTAAAAGTGATGTACTGTTTTCGAAGAGTCTTCAAGTTTGAGGTCAAAATTGAACGGTAAAATCAGCATATACACCCACATACATATTATTTAAATTCAGTCTGTAGTTGACTGTGCCAAAAAAACCCACCCTCTTTCGTAGTGGTTAAAATCTCCCGACTATATAGGAGTCAGGAAAACTGTTGAACATTGTTCAATTCCAGCGACGCTATGTGCATGTTTAGTCCTGAAGGTGAATCTCAGCATTATCCCATGTGATGAATCATTTTGTACTCCTTTTGATGTCCCACCCGAGAACAGCCATTCACTCGTTCTCCATCGCTTGAGTCTGATTAATAGAAATTCCATTTCAGCTCTCACAATAGACCTTGTACACCATGCAAAATTTGAAATCATTTTTGCAATTCCGCACACTGAAGCTCTTTTGGATGCTCTTATGCACTCACACACAAAAGATATCCAAATCAAACACATTCCTACATCACATTTAGCTGTCATGTATTTTGTTCACATCTGTTGCTACATCGAGGCTTTTCGCAGGCATCAACCATGCCCCTGGTGACACCCACACGCCTGCCAGCCTCTGTTGACTTCCCTCGGCGTTTGAAAGAATCCTGAGTTAGCTGGAGGCTATGCAACTGTGCAGTGTCGTCACACCCCATGTGTGAATTTTGTTTTGTTTCTTTTTTATGTCAACAGTCCACTTTTTTGTTTTTTCCACCATGCTCGCACTGTGTGGATGTAACTTTGGAAAACACTCCAAATCAATCATAAAACCATCCAATTAAGTTTAAATGGATTTACTCCATGCACAGGTTGCAGATGATAAACGCTCAATGAGAACTAAATAACGGCATGTGACAGAATTGTTGGTTAAATATACTTGACCATTACTCATGCCCACCACTGTGATCATAGAGCATCCGTCCTCATGTGCTGGCCATTTGCAATATGTGGGGTGCCATTATTTGTACAATAGCATGTTGACGGTGGACCATATGAAACAGTGGTCCTTAATTGGCGAACTCAGGTCCAGACCCAGATTTCATTCTCTTCAGACCAACGATGAGCAATCTTGTCAATTCTCATTTTGAATATCATTTATTGACTGGGCGGCCCGGTGGTCGACTGGTTTGCATGTCAGCCTCACAGTGCAGAGGTGCAGTGTTTGATTCCAGCTCCAGCCTCCCTCCGTGGAGTTTGCATGTGCTCCCTGTGCCTGAGTGGGTTTTCTTTGGGTACTCCAGTTTCCTTCCACATTTCAAAACATTGCAGGTTAATGGAAGACTTTAAATTATCCCTAGGTGTGAGCGCGAATGGTTGTTTGTCTATGTGTGCCCTGCGATTGGCTGGCAACCAGTTTACTGCCCAAAGACAGCTGGGATAGACTCCAGCACACCGGCAACCCTCGTGAGGATAAGCGGATTACTAAATGGGTGGATGCATGGATGGATGATTTCATCAAGCGGTTGTGCAAAGTAAAAACATTTGCATCCAAATACATGATTTGAGTAAAGCAGTAATTCACTTATAAAATCTATCTGGATCCAGATGATGTTCTTTCGTGCAACCACGTGACAAAATGAAATGAAGTGTGTAACACTCGAGTGCAGTAAATAAGTGACCAAATATGTGAATAAAAAGAGTAGATAAGGGAATATAATACACTTTAAAAAAAGACTTAAAATGGTTTCCAAAAAGGGAATCCATGTCCCTTCTCAAAAAATGAAGTACCGGTAATTGGAAACAAGACATTTTTGTATACAGGGCTTGCTGGTGAAATTGCAGATTACTTTTCCATATTGAATTGTTATCATTCAAATTTAAGCAGCATGAATATATCCGAGCAAACGTCAAAGGAAACAAAGATAATCTCCCCGTGTGGAAAAATATCCACACACAAAGGCACACGTGGATGTCGATAGATGCGGTTTATCGAGACATATATTTCTAGCCTGTTATTCCCATTCCAG